TAATGAAACTTTTTAGAAAGTAATCTTTCGATGGGGCAGCACGGTGGCTCAGTTGGTAGAGCTGCTGCCTCTCAGCGTATATGCGGTCCGGGGACCTTTCTGGGTGGAGTTTGCATGTTCTCTCTGCATGTGTGCGTTTTCTCCAGGTGCTCCGGTTTCCTCCCACATATCAAAAACATGCATGTTAGGCTGATTGGTAACTCTAAATTGTCCCTAGGTGTGAGAGAGTGAATGGCTGTTTGTCTCGTTTGTCTCTGTGTCCCTGTGATGGACTGGAGACCTGTCCAGGGTGTCCCCCGCCTCTCGCACAGTGATTGCTGGATATGAACACCAGTGACCCTCGCGACCCCAAAAGGAAGAAGCAGGTAAAGATGATGAATGGATAGCTGAGTCATCCTCAACAAACACTTCAATGCGAATGACAACAAAGAACCTTGACCTTGACCTTGAAGCATTAAACACTTCACATTATCACCAGACGCAAAATGGTATTTTTAAAGTTTGATCAAAATGGCTGCGGCTTCATCCGTTCTCATCATCCGACAATCCGAGTTTCAAACTCGAGCAGGAAAGAGAGCAGGTAAAGTGCATTCCTTAAGAGATACTCGACTTCATTTGACCGTAATTCACAGGTGTTCTCAAATATGCAGATTAGCAACATCTGTTGAAACTGGTAACCACAACAAGTCTGTTTCTGCAAACACAAACGTGTGCAGGTTTTTTTTTTTTACACAACACATTCAGACGTGTCATCACAGGCAATGTGGTAAAGTGAATAAAAGACGGCTGCATTCCATATAAGGGCAGCTCCTGCGGCGCACGCAGGTTTGTTGTTCAGGTTTACTGAAGGGAAGTGGAGCTGTGTCGAGTCAAAATAACCAGAACGCCTTTGTAGTTTAATAAGGAATACGTGGTTGCAAATGTTAACTATCTATGAAATCAAATGATGCCAAAATACAATAAAAGCATTTGTAAGACTACAAAATTTCCATTTATTATGCTATAAACCAAAACGTATAAAAACAACTAAGAACACTTCCTATCACATGAACTAGTTTCACTGAGCATGAAAAACATCGGGGCATTAGGTGTAACTATGTCTCTTCATATTGCTGAGACTCCATCCCTGGATTATTAACTTTTTACCTTTTTTTTACCAGGAAGAAATCCATTGAGATTATTAATCTCTTTTACAAGGACGTCCTGGGCAATGTGCAAATACAGCAACACAGTCTTTAAAACAGTAACAGTAGTAGTAACATGTTAACAACAAACAACGCAAGTTTTTTTTTTTTTTTTTTCACAATTTAAGACACTTTACAGGTACAAGATGTGACTACAACCTCAGACAGTTTTTGTTTAAAACTAGATAAAGGAATAAAAGACTTTAACCTCAATTTAAGCTGCAGATCATTCCAAGACCACGGGCCCAAATGGGACAAACTCATCTTTGCTGATGCCGTGCACACAAAGGATACCTTAAACCACAGCCAACTACTGGTCCTGAGACTGTGTGCTGTGTAGTAAAATGAACTGGGAGTAGATTTATGATGGTCATTTTCCTAAAATGGCTTTGTATATGAAAATATACCAATACTTTGAATATTGAGTGAAGTCCAGCAAGGTATATAAAGTACAATGGTGAGTCGTAAAGGGTGAGCCTGGTATGTACCTCAGAGCAGCATGGAGTCCAGTTTAGCTAAAGTAGTGGAGCAGGCAAATCTATAGACTGTGTCACCATAATCCAGCTGGGATTAGGGGTGGGCAATATGGCTCAAGTATAATATCGTGATATTTCAGATCATTCTGACGATAACGATAAATTTTGTGATATAACAAAAAAAAAAAACAGAAATCATAGTTGTTCATTTGACAAAATTAACTTGTAGCTTTGCAGTATTGTATAAAACTAAAAAAAACAACAAGGGTTAATTTGACTGAAATTATTTAGTAAAGTATTTAGTCTAACAGTATAAAAATACAAAAGCTCATTCTGTTATTTAGATTGAAAAAGTCTGCACAAAATATTGAACAACAAAATCCACCACAAAAACTAAAGTGCAGGTGAAGTTAATAAACTAAATAAAATTAAAACTTAAGCTCTGTTGAGCATAAATGTAACATACAACAAAAAATATGTTGACATGTCTCCCCATATGGGAGACAGCTGAGACACGCATTGTTTGTTTTTAGCATTTTAGCTAGCTAGTATTACGCGCAGCTAATAAGCGTAATGCTAGTGGGGGGGGGGGGGGGGGCGCAGCTCAGTTCAGTAGTTCGGCATGCTCGGTTCTCTTAACGGGGCGAGGCGCCCCGCTTCTATAATGGGAGGGGAAACACTGACGTACTTACGTCATGAAATTAGCATATCATGATATAATTTATTTTCCCGGTCACATTTTTTTTACCAGTATTATCGTGAACGATATGATATGTCCCAGCCCCAGCTGTGATAAAAACAAACTTGTTACAAGCCGCTTACGGTAAGAAATAGAAAAACATGATTTCAGTCTGTACAAAAGAATTAAGAGTAAACGTTAGCTTTGTTATTAGATATGTAATGTTTAAAATTAAGATCTTTATCCAGCCAAAGACCAAGGTATGTGTATGTGTCTAGAAGTTCTATGGTGTCACCATCCAGTGCTTCTCGCTCGCTGCGCTCCCACAAAGTGAACACAGATGATTTCTTTTTGGCACAGGCTTTCAATTGAACTAACTCCTTTGTTGTTGTTGGTTTCGTCCATTTATATTTCAAAATTACAGCTGGTACTGTAATTTCCGGACTATAAGTCGTTACTTTTTTCACACGCTTTGAACACCGTGGCTTATCCAAAGCTGCGGCTAATTTATGGATTTTTTTTTTTTTGATGGGCTAATGAGCTTCACGCCACCAAAACATTTAGCTCCGTCACACCCAGGCGCTCACATAGCTGCCCAATACACATCTGTCTTGGGGGGTATCATCAATGATTTCATGGTAGACGACTGTATTTTTTAGCAGCCGTGTTACAGGCACTGTTAATAAAAAAATTAACATTTACTGTATTTGTGTGTGTTACCAGTAAATATTTAATTAAAAGTTTTAAAAAAAAATCTTTCTGTAAATATCTCATGTTACAACATGAACACCCGCGGCTTATAGACAAGTGTGGCCTATTTATGTAAAACTTTCTTTTTAAATTTAGCAGGCTGTTTATATTCAGGTGCGCTCAATAGTCCAGAAATCACAGTATTTTATTTTCAGGGTTTAAAAGTAGGATCTTTTTAAAGTCAATACTTTACACATTTTTTCAGATAATTTGGGAGGATTCATTTTGTAGCTTCTTTTTTATGTCCAAGTATAAGTATTTTTTTTTTTTTTGTAAAATTACAGAAAATGTTTCAAGAAATATTAAAATACTAATGCACAACAGAGAATAACACTTCTGTCCTAGCGGTCAACCATATGGGTTTATTTGTGGATGACTAGTTTAAGACGTCAGGACAGGGATATATCTTTATTAGTTGTTTAACAAACTTGGAAGATCTTGGACACCTAAATAATAAATATATAGAACAAAAAGGTGGCCTATAATTTTCATTCATTCCACCTTTATTTATACAGGTTAGTCTCATTGAGTCACGGGGACTCACTTATAAGAGAGACCTGTTTTAGACAAACAACATAAAGTACAGACAACAATAAACTACAGTAAAATGCAATTAAAAGTAGTGTTATAAAACAATAAATCAAGGTGCCATATAAAACTATAATGAGTTGGTTGTAGCTGTATCTGCTCTGTAATCTGAGTACTCGCAGGTTTATTAAGTCTTAAATTAAAATATATATATTTATTTGTAAAAATTCTGCTACGATTGGGAGCAGCCCAAACAACATTATATACTTTAGGGTTAACTTGACGGACAAGAAGCCTTGTTGATTTGCAGTTTCTAAAACAAAGTTTTAAAACAGTCTTTAGTGTGTTCATTCATTTTTAGCAAAAAGACAACGTGTTGCCAACAAGAGCAACGCATCTACCATAAAAGCAACAATGCATGTTTGAGCAATTTATATTAGTTTAAAAATATATTTTTTTTATCTTTGAGACAAGGTTTCTACATATATTTTTTTTAAATCACAAAGTCTTTAATTTTCAAGCTGTTTGCGCAGTAATTTTATTATCTGTGTGTTTCATACACCATAAAAACTATGGAGATTTCTATTAACTTTTAATTTGTAATAAATAAAAAATGTTGTCCCACAAAATGTTTTGGATCAGAATCTTAAGAAAACGTTATGACCCCAAAATAAAAATCTCACTCAACTCTATAACTCGGGCTGTCACACACGAGCCTGTAAATGTTTCTTGACTAAATAAAGTCACGTTTTCTGACATAATAATTATTACACAATTTTCGTGACATAAGTATAATACAAGAAGTATCTCACGGCAAAGAAGTACCTCCATTCTATATTTTGATTTGTGAAAGATGGGGATTCTGTTACCGTGCAATCAAAAGTGGGCATCGTAGTGACTACATTTAGTATAAAAAGCTAGCAAACTTTTAAAAAATTATAGTTTATTTATTTATCTATTTACGGTATTTGATTTAATATTTATGTCTGGAAACATACTGTGAAACATACTCTGCATTTATGAGCAATTTGTAGACATTTTAATTGTTATATTTTATTAAAAACACATTAACGTTTGGAGTCTGGAAACACAAATGATTGTCCACACTTGGTTTTCTTTTTCCATACTTATCCAGTACTCAGATACTCTGAAATGATATAATTCTCCATGTTGTATGACTTCATAGGAACCCTGCAGTGTTATAAAACATTGCTCTTTTTTTTATTTAAAGTATCATACAAGCTGGATCGTTTAAACTGACGGGATGTGCTTCTTAAACATTATTAATAAAATCTAATCGTGAATGACAATTATCTGTTTTTTTTATTTCAGTTTGCTGTTTTCTTTTTTATATGCACTGTTTTCGAGCAGCAGGACCGTTACCTTCATAGGTGGAGGCTGCTGTCTGAAGGTGGCCGTCTGCCGGGCGTCCTGCTTCCTGGACACCTGAAGCTGCTGTGCTGCTGCTGCAGCGGCAGCAAGGGATTCTGGGATGGCAGGCTCATGTGGCTCCTTCTGCCACTCTGCTTTCTGCTTCTCAAAGTAGCTGTTCAAAGCAAAAGAGAAAAGCCGTCAACCTTCTGTCACACACGATAATGTTTAATTTACTGTAGATATTAAAATTACAGTCGAGCCGTGGACAACTCTGAACAAATGCTGATTGCAAGATTGCTTGTCTGTGTTTGTGTTTGTGTGTGGGGGAAGGAGGGGTGAGCGCGTGCGTGCGTGTGCGTGTGTGTGTGTGTGTGTGTGTGTGTGTGTGTGTGTGTGTGCAGGGGAGGGCTGGGAAAGAAATGTGGCCTTGGACTTTATGCATGACTGGCCCTTTTTCAAAGATAAAAAAAGTGATATCAGATTTCATTACCCTCTCTGGTTTCTCTCAAAATAGGTCCGGGGCCGAGCACAACTTTGAGCATTCACAGAACAAATTTAATGACGTTTCCTGTGAGCACCATCAACCAAACTTATCGGCCCCTTTACGAGCACTTCATAAACATGCACACGTTTTACACGATTTCAATAAAAATCTGTCTTTCCCCCAAGTTAATATTTCAGCTGGGTGTTTTTCCTCCATTTTCTGAGGTGTGGAGTGTTCATTTTTCTGCTGATATGTCACTCTAACATGGTATCCTGAAACGTACCCAACAGGCTTTTGAGGTGTGATTTAATTTTCTTCAAAGCTCCTCCATCACATCTTGTCATACAGTAACACAGGGGGGCCATTATTATTAGGAACAATTATTTGAGACACGTGCAAATGACGGTTTTGACATCTCCCTTCACCTCTCCATGCATCCCGCTCTACTCTGATGAGTGAGGCGGGCCTACTGAGAAAACCCACAGTGGACTACAAGCTGCAGCTTTCCAAGTATCTTTTCTGCACAGAGAACATGGAGGAGCATGCCACCAGGAAGGGAAGGGCGGACGAGAACCACCTGGCCAACGATGAACTCATCACCCGAACCTCCGCACAATACGCACGCCAAAACTGAGAAGTGAGCCAGGCCAACAATTCTGTAAGTGTACAGGGAGGCACTGAGTCAGAGCTGCAACTGCAGCTAATGCTTTTCATTTGTGGACAGAAACTAAACACAAATATTTCCCTTAAAAGAATTAGTAGGAATGTCACATCTTGACAGACATACATCTATGCATGGCAGCTTTATTATGGTCTGTACGATGAGGAGATTATCTGATGAATTTTTTTTTTTTTTTTTTTAATAAATGACCTTGTAGGTGCTTAAAACCCAGACAGGATCTTTAGTGCCATGAACGCATCAATTATAAATAAACCGGCCATCCATTGTGACGTTTACCAACCAGCAGGACTTCTGCACTTCCACAGAGGAAAATGTGGATGATTAAATTAAAAATAAACCCAACTCTTTGACTCGAGATACCTGAAGGTTGAAAACTTAGATAAGCTTTCCTTCTATATTCCAGCACCATTAACTATGATTTGCTCCAGCAAATTGTACAATCATCTGCTGTTGATGGATGTCAGCCGGCAGTTTGTGCTGCAGGAAGCCTACTTGTCAGACCACCCTGATGTACCCCCAATTTTGTGGATAACACGGATTTTCTGAAGCCTGAAATGGGTTTGTTCGTCACCATCATTTTTTTGTCAGTTCCTAAAGCCAAAAAGTCTGGACAAATAGGGGGTAAAAACCAAAAAAAAAAAAAAAGTCTAATTTCATGTGAATTTCTCAACAAGGTGACAATGAGAATACCAAAAATGAACTTCTAGTATTTAAAACTCAAATACAATAACATGAAGGGATATTCAGACATTTTGAAGCACAGTTCTGTGGAAAGTAATGAACAGTTCATATTGTACAAGTTAAAGTCTTTGATGTACCTTATATTCAAGGTTAAATTCTGACCGGACTGATGAGCCACTGGCTAGTCAGAGCAGGGCGAACAACAAGGAGGTGCTACCATCTTAAAGTGACTCCAACCTTTTGCATTGCACAGTTATCCTGGAAGAAAGTGCCATGCTGCACCTGGAAGTACTGCAGATATCTGCTGCTGCTGTTTGCTGCTGCAAACTAGAGAAATTGCATTTCCTGCAAAAATGCAGTGTGAATGCTTACTGCAGAAGAACTTGCTGAAAGCCATCTGAAATGAGCTAAAATCATGCTAAAATGTAGCTGAAATGGAAGAACAAGTCTAAATTAGCAGAAGAAAACAGAAAGAATACATATTTGCTGAATTTGGCTCAAATAAATAATGAATAAGCTCAAATGTGCACAAAAGTTAGGTAATCAGCTAAAAAAAAAAAACTGAAACTAGCAACAACAAAAAAAAAACAGCTGAAAAGGGCAAAAAGAAGCTTCACCTACCAGAATGAACTGGAAAGAGCTGAAATAAATATGGAATTAGCTGAAATGCTAAAAATTTGCATAAAAACAGCTAAATAGTAGCTGAAATAACAGTCCAGATGGTCTGACTGAACATTAATGGATTTGGTACCTGGATGATTGAGCATGCACTTTGATGAAATAACTGAAACTAGCAGAAAAAAAAAGCTGAAAGGAGCATAACAAGCTGAAATAAACAGAAAGTATTTAATTAGGCTGCAAGTAGTAGAAAATACCAAGGAAAAACAAATATATATGAAAACAGCTGAACATAGCTAAAATTTTCTAAAAAGATAGCTTAAATTAAATTAGCAGAAGACAGAACACATGTTTGCCCGATTAGGCTGAAAGAAGCAAGAATGAGAAGAAAGAGAGGAAATTGTCTAAAAATTGACTGAAATTAGCAACAACAACAAAAACAGCTGAAAATTAGCTAAAAAGGCAGAAAGAAGCTTAAATTACCAGAAGGAAGTGGTGAGAGCATATTTTTGCCTAATTAGACTGAAAAAAGTTGAAATGGGTGCAAAAAATGTGGAATTAACTGAAAAAGCTAAAATTTGCATTAAAACAGCTAAATGGTACCTGAAAAGTAGAAAAAGCTGAAACTTGCAGAAATAAGCTGAAAGGAGCATAACATGCTGAAATTAGCAGAAAGAAGTTAGAAGCACAAAAATGTTGTAGTTAGAAGAATCTGAAAGGAGCACAAAAAAGCTGAAAAACAGCTTAAATTAGCAGAAAGTAGCTGAAAAAAGTTTTAATTTGCACAAGGAAGCCGAAAGAAGCAGAATCAGAACAAAACGTGAAAGGAGCAGTAAAAGGTTGTAAACAGATCTAAAGATTTGAAAGATGTAAAATGAGCTCAGTTCATTTTCTATGAGGAAAAAAATGGCAGAAAAGGCTAAATATTTCAAAAAGCTAAAGTTGCACCAATACCAAACGTCATAGCAGAATTGTCCTGAACGAGCTGAACATTTTGATATGATTTGTTGTAATAGCTGGAAAACTGCGGGACGAGACTCACGCCGAAAAACGTACGGAAGAAAAATGGATCACAATAGTGTGAATGCTTCATAAACATTCACACTCTATAACCTCAGAATTTTATGTAAATAACTATAAATCAAAACTGATGCTGGTGGCGTAGTAATGATTAAAACAGCTATTTCAGTAACTTATGAAATTTAAATAGATTGGAGTTGTTTTAAGACAACAGCAATTTATTTATATCTTCATGGATTCGGACTAGCCATTAGCTTGTCAATCGAGTCAGAACTGAACTATTTCCCCAACGTGGCCATTCAAAGAACTATCTGCAACAGATGTCAACTATTCATAACTAATTCACATAAGCGTTCTTCAAATTAAATTATGCATTTAAACCCAAAGTTTTGCAACGCTTTTAAATGAATACCTTGTTTTAAAAAAAAATGTACGTTAAAAGTTTTTTCAGCCAAATAATTAATGTTTGCACAGGGGTCATACATAAAGAAGCTCATATACAAAAGCATATACGATTTAAAGTTAAAAGCTGGAGATAAATTTAGTTTTTTAGACCAGTGACAGCAACACGATCACATGGCACTGAAGATCGCTTGGTTTCATTCTAGTTCACACGGTGTCAAACTTCCTTTCCTAAAAAGAATTTGCACATTCCCTGTCACATGCAGGTTTTAGCACCAGCTCGTGTTCTTTCAAGGACGTGCTCAGAAATGTTTTCTACACGTAAAAAAATGACATGACACCATGGTGACAAGCGGCCAGGGAACCACCACATGCCCTTGACATTAAGCAATGTGATCCCAACATGTTATCCAATACGCTTCTCTGAGAGAGAAGTTCCGGGTTCCTGTGACCTGCTGCAATCCAGCTCCTCTCCAAGAGTCGCGCAGCTAAAACGCCTTTGTGCAGAAATTTGTGCATCTCCAAGACCAACCAGTAAACTCATTTGCAACTGTACTTTGGTATTCATGAGCACAGCCTTGTATAACTTTGGTCAAATTTCATTCCAACACCGCATCAACCAAATTCTTCGTTAAGAGTTACAGTTTTGAAATTAAAACAGATTGTTTTCTGTTTGCCAGCTATGGCTGAAGATTTCAAAGCTGTTCGTGCAAAACCCATTTGCAAAAAAAAACTGAGCCACATGTTTTTACACATTACGTGTTGTGCAATAAAGTTCCACAGCTTTGGTTGACTTTAAACTTGTCACTACGGTCATAAATTAAATTTAGCTGAGTAATAAACCCTCTGAGTTCAGCCCTGTTCATGGCTCATCATATGATACAATATAACAGAGTTGCTTTATTCCATACCGGATGTTTCCTGCCAAAACTGAGATACGATTTAGCGCTGTTCATTGCTAGAAAGTTGAGACATAAACTACCTCCTTGAAAGTCAAGAAACCTTGGCGGAGAGTTGGAAAAATTAAAATAAAACTGCTGCTGGGAATAGACAAAACCCAAAGTGTTTCCATTGACAAAAGTAGGTTAATAGTTCTGTTAATTTAGGGGTGATTCACAATTTTCAACAATTTCACAAGCGTACAAAACATTCTCTTTTAGGAGGATGCCCCTAAAAGCGTCGAAAAAAATGTTCTTTCACAAAACTTTAATTATAAGAAAAGCTGAGACATAAAACCCATGAGCTTGCCTGGCGAATGTAGCCACTCATGGTGCAAGAAGTAAAATCACAACAGAGTTGTTCTTGTGTGACATCTTGTGAACCATTATTGGTGCACGCGTTCACCCTCCAGTAGGAAGTGCTTTCCCCTCGTATACATACCAGGAACAACCTCTGACTCATGGTGTCAGTTTACAGCCTATAATAGAGACTTTAACATGAATGCCAAACCAAACCTGAGCGGGACATTAACAAGAACAACCCATTTCCACACTCATAAACATTGTAGACAGTCATAAACATGCACACATAATTGCCACAAGGCTACCCAGCATCCTTGCCAGCTCGCAGTCTCTTTGCGCATTGATATAATTTTACGAGGGAAAAATGATTGTCATTCCACATTTATACACGTCTCAAAGTTGTTTAAAACCTACAGATACGTTCATACGTATGTCTATGATAGACTACACACACCTGAAACTGACTCTCGCAGAGAACTTTGAGTTTTGGGGTGGGGGTTCAGTAACATGGAGACACACATCTTGGCTATTATCTGGGGCAAACAAAATAAGAGGACGGCATTTTTTCAGGAGTCCTGCTGGTCACGGGATTCCCACAGGATTCCCACAGGATTCTGACAGGACAGGAGTCAACTTTAATATAACGCACAGGATTGGGATGGGACAGGACGAAAAGTTAACGGGACCAGACAGGAGCGGGGACCAACCGATAAGACAAAAAAAAAAAAAGGAACAAAAAAACTTGGGACAGGCGCCGCTATTTTGTAGTTTTCTTTCAATAATACCAGACTTTCAATGCTCCAGTCTGTAAATGATGCTCTGAAGTCTGGTAAGCATGACATCCTGCTTCGCTGAAACGAGCTCCTTACCTATTGTGAATATCTTGAGGATGTATATATCCATTGCCTTTAAGCATTTTTATTTGTGGAGTTCTCTTGCTTGGTACTTTTTTTGTTGTTGTTGTTTTTGTTTAAGCAATTTGAAACATGACAGTAATGTCACTGTTTAAAGGAAACAACTGCTCAGTAAGTTTGTAAAATGCAACTTTATATGTTCTGACTGGGTTCATGGTGTGGCCCATGTACTGTTGTGTTTTTATTTATTGTTTTTACTGTAACTGACCTCCAAAAGAGCTAGAAACAGACACTCAGTAGCTGATCCTCCATAGAAAAACTATAGGAACCACACATTTCACATTTTCATGTATAGAAACTGGTCCAGATGACATCATTGAACCATTTTTGTTGTTATCTACCTGAATTATTGAGTTTACAAACCTTTTTTTAAAGGGACTACAGGCCATGTATTATTTGTTTTGTGACGTTTAGTGAAGGTTTTTGATTGAAATAAAACAATAAATGCCTCTCGATTTCACTAAAGATGAACTGTTGCTGTTGCCATATCTTTTGAAATAAAACTGCAGAACACAAAGTAATATGTATAAAAAGGAATGGGTAGAAGATCAAATCAAATTTAATGTATTTCCTAATGACTAAATGAAGACAAAAAAAGGGGAGTGGTACAGGAGCGGGAGTCATTCTGAATGGGAGCAGGATGGGAGCAGGAGTGGGACAGGACAGGAGTGAAAATCCACTCCCGTGCCATCCTCTGATACAAATATACATCTTTTACTGATAATATTATTTAATTATAACAACTAAAGCAGCAGAAACACAAGTCTCTCAAACACACTCAAACAGGCTGCACGCTCCTGCAACAGCGCTCTCTCTCGAGGACCAGAAGTTTGGTCACACGTGCAAGTTCAGGGAGGTCGGGGGCACGGTGCGGGAGGTCCGTCAGCGAGAGTGGGCTCAGTGATGGCTGTGCTCACGAGTGGTTCGTTTGCTGCGTGCGTCTCCGCTCTGAGCGCTTCGACACGGAGCGGGGCTCACAGCTGAGCCGCTGCTCGCTCAGTTGGGAACACTGCTTGCACGCAGGCTCACTGTACATCAGATGGTGTATCAATATTTGCCATGTGGGAGAATAGCAACATGTCGATTATCCAGTAAACATCAAACGAAGGTCAACTTTTTCTTTTCATTTTGAAAAGCGTACACCAGTCCTTGACACCCCCCCCCCCCCCCAGCGGATGGTTTGCACTCTTGTGACAATGTTGAAAACTGTCCCCTTAATGTCATTGCATTCATCCCACATGGCTCCATAATCTACCTGTGTTAGCACCTGCTGCATTTATTTCGTCGCACTGTTACCTTTAAATAAATGTAATTTAATTTAACTCTGAACTTTAAGATTCTTGTAATAACGACTGCGCAAGATCCGTCCGTCGTGCATCAAACGTGGTTCTGTAACGGCATGTCAACGTTTGTCCCAAAAACCGTTTTGTCCTGTTCATTTTAGATGGGGCTGTGTGATATAATACGATTAAATGTTGTCTGAGAAATATCACAACAAGGTCTGTAGGTTCAGAGCTTCAGGGCACTGGGGTCAGCTGTAGTGCCTGCTGAAATGTCATCTGTTGCTCCAAATGTTCTGATACCTAAACCAACCTTGAAAACGATCGTTAATAACTGAAAACTGCATGTTTCCTGCAAGCTTTTGCTCTTTGACTGCACACAATTTAAAGTTAAACGGTTGAAAATGTGATATGAGCTGCATTAAGTGTGAACTTTCTGTCTGTGTAGTGTGTGTGTGTGTGTGTGTGTGTGTGTGTGTGTGTACTGACTCCAGGGAAAGCTTCTCCTCCTCTTCATTCAAGTTAGGGAGTCTGTGCAGACCAAGAGTCATCCTGAGGGCGTCAACGTGCTCTTTCAGAGGTTTGTACTCATCGTGAAGGCGGCGAGTTGTTTCTAGCAACTTATTCAGATCATTTTCTGACTGCTTGATGGTGCTCTCCATCTGAAAGAGAAAGGTTGGGTATTTCTGACCTGCATACACAACGTGCGCTACACAAACTATCAATGACTGCACAACAACATAGCATGTTTAGTAAAAAATAAACAAAAATTGGTTTGACCTGTGCACACGCTGGGTTCATTAACTACAGAACCAACCACTTGGTATAAAAATCTGGATAATTTTAATAGCAAAACCAAATTCATATAAAAGTCATATAAGCCATTTGTTTCTGTGGGTTTAATATGCACATATTTATGAAACGATGAAAGTCAATATAATCCATATTCATTGCCAGCTTTGGCTAGAACTAGGCTAGTTTAGCTAAAACCTTGAATCCAAGCAAGAACCAGACGCCAACCTTTCATTAACTAAAAACACCATCAATCAATTCCAAGAACTCTGTTTGCGAACAACAACCAAACCAGTTCTGCGTTGTGCCAAACGTGCGACGCATTTGGCACAACGCACTGGTTTACAAATGCTGTGGACTTGAACCAACTCACAACATTAATATCTGCATGAATGAGGCGCAGCTCCTCAACGTGAGCCATTTTCTCTTGTAGGAGGAGATCCATTTCTTGTTTGTATTCCTTTAGATGTTTCTCTTCGGATTCCAGAGCCTCAAACTCCATCTTCAGCCGAGACTTGATCTTCTGCATCTGGATCGTCTTATTCCTGTAGCTCGTGGCGAAAACACAGCAAAGGCCAGCTGTCAGATGGTCTCACACACAGAAGTTGCCAAAGAGACAGAAAAATATCTTCAAAACAAAAGAAAACGCTTTCCCTTTCATGTGCGCGGCACTGGTTTGACATAAAGTAAATGATGTTAGCACTAACATTGACAAATGCATCCAGTTCACTTTACTTTAGTACATGAAGTCACAGCAATTACACACGTGCACAGGACAAAAAGACATAAACACAGTGCTCCATCTCTTCCTATTACAGCCTGCCAAGCAAAGCTAAGATGCTAGCTTACGCACATTAACGGTTAGCGGCGCAACATCTGGAATTTGTTCTGACACATCTGGAATGTTGATGCATTATTCAAATATGCGCTTAAACGACAACAAGTGTGGATTCATGCCATAATTAGTCTGCCTGCCAAATATGTCCGTAACGAGCTGATAGGAAACTGCAGCACCGAAAACGTTTTGTTTTTTTAATCCAGAGGGAGAGCGGCTAGCGTTAGCACGGTGTGTAACAATAGCGAGGCTAACGTTAGCACGGTGTGTAACAATAGCCAGGCTAACGTTAGCTATGCTAGCCGCCGGTGCCAAACATCTGGAAATCATTCGTTCGGTTCGAAATCCAAGTTTTACCGTATTTCCAGGATGTTCTCCAACTTGCACATTATTTCCTGTTCGTCCGCCATGGTTTTGCAGCGTCCTTGTCGTTCCGCTAACCGGACACGGTTTCCCACAAGGCCCCTGACGGTGGTCTGCCGTTAATGAGAAATAACACAATAGTCAGCGTGAGCGTGCACAGAAGCACGCGCCCGCAAAGTGGAGCCGCGGTGAGGCTGGACGAGTTGACCCAAGACACCCCCCGTCTAAAAACAAAGGTCCCCCCCCCCCTGTCTTTGTTTCAATAATAGTCTGTGGAAAAGTCCGTAAAAGCGTTCAGTTTACTAAAGATGAGGACAATCTGAACATGTTTAATATTCATTGCAATATTGGAGATGGTATGGTATAAAGTTTATTCATTTAAAAAAAATACAAAACAGTTCCATAACTATATAAAAAAGATACAGGAGATTTAAAATGAAAGGCAGCAGAAAGAAGAATAAATCTTATTATGTCTGCCCCTTTTTTCAAACAATTATTTCAATCATAATAATTTTCATGTAACAGAACAAAATGAATAACTCTTTTTAGTTTTTCTAACTTTAATACAAAAAACACACTAAGCTACTTCATATATATATTTTTTTTTTAACAATCCAGCTTTGATCTTTTTCTTAAATGTACACATTGACTTGACATTTTTCACATCACTCTCTAGACCATTCCACAATCCAACTCCTTGGATTGAGGTAGACCTTCCCTTCAGACTAGTTCTGATTGTTGGTTTGACAAATATCTCTATCCCCTTAAGATTATAACAACTTTTTCTTTTAACAAAATTTATTTGGATATTTAATGGTAATGTGTTATTTTGAGCCCTATACATAACTGATAAAATATTGTAATCTACCAAATCATGGAACTTCAATAACTTCAGTTGATAAAATAATGTGCTTGATGGGTGACTGTAATGCTTTCTGGTGGTAATTCTTACAGCTCTTTTCTGTAAAATAAAAATAGGCTTTGTAAATGTTTTCTATCAAACTATCAAAAATATAGAAGAAAAAAATCTGCACATTTTCTTTCCATATCAATGTATCTCCTTATTAAAATGTCTGAACAACTGTCAACTACCTTGTACATTTCTAAGATTGATCTGCTTTCATGTGTTGGTAAGTAATTTGTTGAGTAAAGTCTGTAGATGACAGTGTTTTTGTTGATATTGGGTGCGTACCTGCATTTCAGAATCGCATTTTAGTATATGTGGAAACCACTGGCTCCTCCAGAAATATTTTAAAGGTTTGGCCAATGTGGAGGCCACTGACAATCCTAAAATATCACAGCTAAATTTAAAGACATATGTAGGTTATCTAACAAAAACAGAAAACCAGGAATTAGCAAATTACCTTCAGGTTTACATAGATCTCCTTCATTTATTTATTCATTATTATTTACAGTTGACAGTACTAGTTGAGAAAATCCCTGTCACACTTATATATATATATATATATATATATATATATATATATATAT